AAAAAAAAAAAAAAAAAAAAATTCCTAGGGCAAGTTACTGAGGTACTCTACAATATTTTGGGTCTTTATCTGATTGTCAAAGATGTCTAAGTGTATAAATTCCTCCCTGGCGATACGTAAAGCTACAGAAGACCATATACACCGTGCCTGGAGGCTGCACTCCTGTGCCCAGCCCTTTGAAAGGGCTTGAAAATTAGTATCCTTTTGAAGTTCTTAAAACTGTTGAGGACTCCTTATGTGGACCAGGCTGGCCTTGAACTCGTTGTGTAGCCCAGGCTAGCTTCAAACTCGCATTGATCCTCCTGCCTCAGCCTCCTGAGTGCTGGGATTACAGGCATGCACCACCATGCCTGGCCTTTATGACTTTATATTAAAACTTTTTAACAAAAACCTTAGGTCTTTTTAAATTGCATAGCAGTTTCCTGAATATGCTCATAGTATTATAACAGTAACCATGTGATGTATGAAAAGAATAAGTATCTTTAACTTCATATATGAGGGCAGGAGTTTGATTCCAAATCTTCTGCCCTGTTGGGTACATGTTGTAGCAGTAGACATAGAAAACAAGTTAGATGTACAGAAGTTTATTGTGAGTGGGGACATCAGTGACAGAAAAGACAAAGGAGCAGGAGTAACAGGCTGACCAGTCCTGATGAGATGACCCCTCTCACTGGCTAGAGAGCCCCACACGTCCAAGTGGAAAGTGTGACCAGTCCAGGAGACCTTGCCACGTCTCCTGGCAGGAACCGCCCACTTGGGGGTCAGGACCTCTCCCCTCAGGGTCTGAACCTTCGGGAGCCCAGTGGAGGGAGCCGTTGCGAGTGCCGGCCTTGGCCATGTCTGCGCGCACCTCTTGTCCCCATGCCTCGAGTTCTCCCTGCCAGGGACACTGCAGGCTGGGTCCGGCCAGCAGCTCTGAGAGGCAATGGTGTGTGTGCCACAGTCCGAGGTCTGTGCAGGGCTCTGTGAGGGGAGCCACCTTGGTTCAAGTTGTCAAAACCTTCGCTAAGTGGCTTTGGGTTGCTGGCTGAGCCTGGCAGATGGGACAGCAAACGACTACAGGAGATAGCTGCTCCTGCAAGGGAAGTGTTGAGTCTTGCAGGAGGAAATAGTGTACTGGGTGGCAGTCGTTTGTCCCCAGGACTGATGGGTCTTCTCAAGGGACAGCACTCTGTTAGAGGCTCAGCATTGTTGTCTGATGCCAGCAGACTGAACTTTCAAAAGCCAGGAAATGCTGGATCGGCCTTGTTGGTCATCTTGAGCAGCCTTCTGCTCTGCCACCATGGCCCTGTCTTCGGCCTTTCCTGATGCCCATCATTGACCAAGTTATTTTATTCATTTGGCTATTTGGTACCCAGGCCATGCAAGGCTTTCTGGTGGGCATTAACATGTGATTAAAAAGTGTTCACAAGCCAGGTACAGTGGTACATACCTGTAATCTCGGCAGCTTGAGAGGATGAAGAGGAAGATCATACATTCAAGGCCAGCCTGTGCAATTTGGCAAAACCTGTCTCACTGGCTGTGATGGTGTGGTGTGTCTATAATCCCAGCACTCAGGAGGCTGAGGCAGGAGGATCACCGTGAATTTAAGGCTCCATAGAGTTCAAGGTCCTCTTGCACTACATAATGGGACCTTGTCTTAAAAAAAAAAAAAAAAGAATAAAAAATTTCGAAAGTTTTTTGAGGGCCAGGCATATAGCTCAGTAGCACAGCTCCTGCCTGGTAAGCATGAGGTCCTGAGTTTGATTTCTGGAACCCACAAGAACAATTTTTTTTAAAAAAAAACAGGGTCTCGATTAGTTGTCTAGGCTGACCTCGAACTCAGTGCAACCCTCCTGCCTCTGCCCTGGGATTATAGGTGTGTGCCGTGGTGTGGCCTTGCTCTACAACCCGGGAGCCTGGCGTTTGATTCTTCTCCTGGGAATATGCACAAAGCACTGTGTTTAAGTGCCTGGTTATGTTCCCTTGAGAACTCCTGAGCCTCATCAAAGACTTGGCACATTGGCACCTGTTCCTTGTCCATCTGGACTGATGGAGACCACTGTGAAGCAGCCCAGAGCAGGCCTTAAATTAACCAATTGGCTTTTTATGTTGACTTGTGAATCTGTCCAAAGCCTTGGCCTCTTGTCTGGAAGTGGGCAACAGGCTCATAGTAAGTGAAACTCTGTGAGTCACTAATTCCTACTAAAACCTATAATGATGGACAAGAGTAGAAAGCCTCAAAGGACAAAACAAGATCACAGCCAAGAATGCCTGGATCTGATCTCAACTAGATAAAGATTGTAGCCTCAGGCATCTCATTCCTGGGTAGATTAATTTAATCTTATTAAGGATTAATTTAATACCTTACTTGGAGAAGTCCTTGAGAGATTTCACCTTTCTTGAGTACTCCCTTCCATTCTTCTGATAACCACATAAATACAGGCCACCCGGAGAAGGTTGGTCTTAGCCCTGAGTGAATCTCAAATTCTGTGAGAGGGTTTGATCCTCCTGGAGCCCTGAAATCATTCCACTTGCCTCTTTTTTATTTAGCCTTCGCCCTACGCTCATTCGGGAGATTGCAGACCCGGTCAGCCCACAATAACGAAGGATGTTATTAACCTGATACTGGCCCAGCCGGATGGTGTCAGCACAGTGGATCAATGTGATCTTCAGTGTGCAGATGGCCCAGATGTCATGGGCAGTGTTGTGACAGATGGCCAGAGAGTTAACACGGCTGGAAGCAAACTGTTTCCTATCTTCTTTCCTGGCTAAGGTGGGCACAAACAATTTGCCACATCAATGGCCTCAGTCTGCACACCAGAAATCATATGATTTGCCCTGGCAAAGAGGTGGCAGCTGTCGGGAGCAGCTGAGCTAGTGATCATTCACAGGTGGAGCTGAGAGCAGGGAACAACTGAGGAATGCCCTGAGGGCACGGAGCGCCCAGGCAAACAGGTTGCAACCCTGAGAACACAGGGCGTGAGAGGTGAGCCAGTTGTTAGGCAAAGGGGTTTCGCCTGACATCAACTTGCTAAACATATAAATAAAGGCACTGCAGTGGTTGACAGTTTCTTTTCCTCCCATCCAGACGGAGAGCTCCACCTGACCTCAGCTTTCTGTAAATTGTTTCTGTCTCTTTTCTCCAGCCTCTTCCTGTCCCCACCACCCTCCAAACTTCCAGAGCTGCCTGGACATGGCAGGCACCTGGCTAAGC